ATTTCCTCTTGGTTTTCCAGTGTTTTGGCACACTGTAGTTCATAGTAATGTCTTATAAGCCTTTTTATTCCTGCAAAGTTAGTAGTAATGTCTTTATTCTTCATTTCTGATTTTAGTAATTTGAGACTTCGCTGTTTTTTCTTAGTCCATCTAGGTAAAAGTTTATCCATTTTGTTTATCTCTTTGAAAAATCGGCTTTTATTTTCATTTTATCTGTTGTTTTTCTATTTTGTTTATTTCTGTTCTGATTTTATTATTTCTTTCAGCTGGGTTTTGGTTTAATTTCTTCTTTTCCTGGTACCTTAAGTTTTAAAGTAGGGTTTTTGGAAGTTTTTGATTTGAGATCTGTCTTATGTTTCAGTGTAAACATTGCAGCTGTGACAGTGATTGCTTTCAATCCTTACTGGCTCCTCATTATCTTGAGTGTCCTACCTCCCACCTATAGAGGGCCTAGGATGCTCCAGTAGGAAGGAAACAGTCAATTGTCTACATTTAACTTTTAGCCAGGGAAAAAAAAAGTTAAATTAAGCCTATCATTATTGCATGGGTTGACAGGGTGTATATATTATTTATTAATAAATAAATTAATTGGAGGTGCTCAAAAATTTATTGCTAGGGTGAGGGTGCAGTATTTTAGAGACACTCAGCTATAGGACTAAGACCCAGACTCACCTGTAATGTATCCCTGAACACCTTTGCAGAACTTTATCTTCTTAGAGTCCTACACCGCGTTCTCCTGTCACACTTCTGGGTGTTTGTCAAGCCTCCTTGGCTCTGCTTGTGTAATGGTGCCACATTAACAAAGATCCCCTGCTAGATGAAGCACAACCTGACAATACACAATAGAGCCATATTGTCTACCCTTATTTAACACTAACTGTACATGATTCCCATGCACCTCTCATAATACCGTATTACAGGATAAGTGTTTGTAAATGTGATTTGTCTCCTTACTAAGGCTTAAGCTCCTTAAGGGCAGGGGGAAGAAAAGAGGAATGATTTAGCTTAATATTCTTGGCAGGGTAGGACAGTTTCAGAAACACAGTGGGAAGTGTAGTTTTTTTACTTGAATTAATAAGTTAATGCACTGGGTTTTCCTGTCATATCAGTTTACCCCACAAAATAAAAACAAAACAAGATACAGAGTAGGCAACATGTATATTTGTCGTAAACTCTCAGAGTAAACATGTTAAGAGTTAGTTCTCACATATCTATTTCATGTCACCTAATACTGATCTCTTTGGCTTGAACAGAAATGCGCTGGTCTGGGATCCGTGTCGTTCAAGGACGTGACTGTGGACTTTACCCGGGATGAGTGGCTACAACTGACAGGCACACAGAGGACGCTGTACCGGGACGTGATGCTGGAGAACTACAGCCACCTGGTCTCAGTGGGTGAGGGGTGTTCCTGTGTAATGTCTCATAGCATGCGTTTCTTTTCTTCGTTCTTAGCTGCCAGAGTTTGTGGGCCCTTGAAGGAGTGTTTAGTGATAATGTGTGTACATCTCATGGGTCAAAGATTTTCGCATTGGGCATAGAAAGGATGTGTTCCTGCCTCCCTAATGAAAGGTTCAAATGGGCACCTTTATCATGTGGCTCCTGAAGCTGCACCTTCCTCGTCCTCCACGGGCCCTGATACCCAAGCAGCCCGTGAGGAGTTTTATCCTGTATCCCACTCACAGGGTGTCACCTCACCAAACCAGAGGTGATCTTCAAGTTGGAGCAAGGAGAAGAGCTGTGGCCATCAAGGGGAGAATCCCCAGATCAGGGTGATCAAGGTGAGTTAGTCATTATGGAGAATGAAGCCCACAGAAATCAGGTCCCGGATGGGCTGGTTCTGAGGTTGGTGTGTGTCTCAGTAGTTCTGTTTTGGGCCCTGAGGCCTTCGGAAGTAGCTGAACAGTGAGCTAGCAGACCTCCAATCACCCAAATCGCCCTACTTCATCACTTGTAAATACCACTGCTGTCCTTTTCTGCCTGATACCCAGTATTGAACCCTTGCTTGCGTCATCTTAGCGTCTTCTGTTTCTTTCTCTAGTGTGCATCTTCCTCCATTTTCATGGTGTATTTTCTTTTTATGTCCCCCCCCCCCACGTGTGCATTCATTCATTCATTCTTCTGCAGATATTTCTACTATGTGCCACTCGTGTTCTTGGTGTTGGAGATAAACCAGTAAATGTAACAATCTTCCTGAGCTCTTGGAGCTTACAAGCTAGCAGGAGAAGATAGATATAACTAAAAAATTTACCTATCAAGTGGTGACAAGACCCATGAAGACAATTAAAGCAGGCTAAAAGCAGATGGAATGGGGTGTGCTCTCTGACACCCCACCTGGGCACCTGGGTGGCTCAGTTGGTTAGGCGTCCAACTTCAGCTCAGGTCATGATCTCATGGTTTGTGAGTTTGAGCCCCGTGTCAGGCTCTGTGCTGACAGCTTGGAGCCTGGATCTACTTCAGATTCTGTGTCTCCCTCTCTGCCCCTCCCCTATTCACACGCTATCTCTCTCT